CCCCAAAACCCCAAAACCCCAAAACCCCAAAACCCCTCTCAGAATATTCTATATTGATCCGGAAAAATGGGTAATTGAATGAAATTTGAATGCGGTTAAAAAGTTATTCATTAGACTCCCTTTTTGTTAAAATCTTCCTTTGAGATTTTATCAGAAATAGTCTCAAGTCTTTCACTCTTTGGAATAAATCTGAGGGATTCGACCCCAAATATGAGATATTTTAGATAATTTTTTAGATTCTCCATAGGCTTCTCAAACAAAAGAAATCCAAATAAGGCAAATACGTAAGTTAAAATAATTGAAGACATCATGCTGATGGCTGCTCTTGAATAAGTTGCGTATAAACTTTTTCTTGTATCGAAGATAGCAGCTCCGATTACTAATGGAAATATCAGATATGCTGTGAAGGTAAGCCTAGAAAGAGGCCTCCAGCAATAATACGACAGCATAACCTTGATATATTTTCCTCTTCCTGTCAGAATGTTGACTATAATTGCCATAATACCACTAATGTAGCCAAACCTGCTGAAAGCAAAGAAGAATCCATTTTCATCCATTCTCCAGCTGTATCCATTCTTGTTCGAGGAAACTTGGATGAAATTAATGAAATTGATAATTCAGAAGGAATATGCATACAAAAATATAGTAAAAAGCCAAGAAGTATGCATAAAATGAATAAAGCAATATTCATTCTTTTTCTCAAGTACTGGAGCTTTTCGGTACTTTATCAACCTTAAATAGAAGGCTCCCATCCCCATACCTCAGGAAAGAATGGGCAGCTTTGTGTAAGGCTTGTTATAAAAGCATGCGAACAAGTAGTAATCTTCAAAGGTAAGGATTCCTACTCGTAATTTGTTCTTTAGAGTTATTATAAAATCTATAATGAATCCACCTATAAGAATGACTACAGTTGTCAGATAGAATAGTTTCCTCCTCTTCTTGTACAATATCACTAGAAGAGGAAAGAAAATATGCAGAAGCATATCATTTGGAACGACATACGGCCAATAGTAGCATCCATTAAGAGCTTGGGTGAAGAAAGGAATTAAGTTATTCAGGAATGTTAAAACAAAAGGCCATTCAGTCTCTCAATTTGTTGAAAACCTTTCTGATACAAACCATCCTGGGCTCGTGAATATCAAAGGGTATACGAACCAAGTGAAGAAAAACACCAGGTAGTACATTGGAGCAAGCTTGAGGAATCTGTGGATGTAGAACCGGATATAGTCTGTGAAGCCAATGCCACCATTCATGTCATAAAATCTTGCCATATAAATGAACCCAAGGAAGAAAATGTAGAATATGAATAATTCAGGAGTGATGAATCAGGCTGATAACATTGCAAAAGGATATCCACTAAAATAAGAAAAGATTACAATGGGGTCACTGAGATTTCATATAAGACAATAGACAGCAGTAAGAGCGAGGATTACCCAGAACATAGTCAGAACTCTCATTCCGTCAATAAAGGCTAAGTCTTCATCATCTTCAAATTTGTTGATCGGTTTATGTAAGGAGAAAATATTTCTTTGAAGGCTAAATCAGGCAACAATGTTGCTGAAAAATGATCCTTTGTACTTCTCCCTGACAATTAGCCTAACCTCTGGTTGCTTCTTGTGCAAGAAGACATCCGTAGATGCTTCAGATGAAACAAAATCACTTCTTGGAGTGATAGACGTGTAATCTGTTAGTAATTGATTCTTCGGTGAGGTCAGCTTCCTTGGAGAAAATCCTAAATTGAAAGGATCTGCATTATTAGTATTCCAGTTGCTATTTGGAAGTGTAGGAAACTCACTGACACTTTGATGGTCATCATTTGATAGAAGAAGGCCTCCAAAGTCGTCTTCTTTGCTTAGTAATAATTCTTTCTCTTTGATAATTTTAAGCTTTCCGTTACCCCTATCCTGGTCTGATTTTCATAAATGTAATAATATACTGAGTGATACAACAAAGAATGCAAGAGAAGCCATGAATGATAAAACCACAATAGCTCCGATCGATCTCTGGTTTACTTGAGTTTCTCGCCACGTATTAGGCTGTATAAAAGATATCTCTGCACCTACTTGGTACTTCTTGATAAATTCAAGACTTGTGACCCATCCGATAGCCTGGATGATTTGGAATGCAGTTTCTGAAAGAGGGTCTGCAGCCTTATCCATCATCCACTGTTTTCATTCTTTTGGAAATCAAAGGCCAGATCGGACATCGATTGGAAGTTTAGTTAAATTCACATTCATGTAATTATATTCTGCATACTCACTAAGTGACGTTCAGCCATCGTAGTCTCCCACGTCTCCGATGTCAGAGAAAGAGTAAAGAGCCATTTTCTTGTAGTGACCTTCCCTCATATGCATTGTAAAGTTCCATATAGCATCATAACATTGCCCAATTTGTTCATTTTTATATTTATTTCTGATATCATCTCTGGTGACAACAGACTTGCCACTATGAACTGTGACTCTTGAACTAAGGTCAATATTAACCAAGAAATCTGCCAAAAGTAGTGCATTATTTCCAGAGGATTTCTCTATAATATGCACATCCTGATTTTGTGTGGCATTAACTAGAGTGCTTAAGATGAGAAAAGAAATTAGGCTTTTAAGAATTGCACCCTTCATGATTAAAAATTATATATTTTAGAAAAAATTACGTAAGTAAGAAGGGGTTTTGGGGTTTTGGGGTTTTGGGGTTTTGGGGTG